TTGGGGACACAATTCAATCCATGACAGGGGGCTTTCTCAGACGATGCAGCAGTAAGAAAAGCCCACCCAGGCTCGTGGGGCCTCAGTGATACGCCCTGTAGGTCCCATGTGTTAGGCCACCATCCCCAGGCCCTAATCTGGAGAACGATGGACTGGGCTGGCGTGTGGAGTTCTGAACAGGGACAGGGTGGAACGTTGCTCCTGGGCCCACCAGCAGCAGTGAGGTCCTTCTCTCACATATCCTGTCCCTTTGCCATCCAAAACCCCGTGGTGACAGCAGGTAGGAATGCCCAGCCCCAGGCTCATGGTTCACAGGGAGGGCGTGAACAAAGGGCCTTCTGACTCTTCAGTCCCAGTGGGGGCCAGGATGACTCCAGCTAGTCTGCTTCCCTAAACTCTCTCCTAGGGAACAGTTTAAAGATCTCAGAACAGGCAAAGGAGACCCAAAGGGGGGCAGGGATTGTCACGGGGTAATTAATGACCCCCCAAGCCACGGCCATTTTTATCACAGGTGCTTGTTAGCGACAGAGAAAACAGCCAGGTCGTGGGTGACCCCTGCCGATGGCCAATTACTATGGCGCCAGGGCACTGTGGAGCATCGCTTATGAAGCTGGGGTCAGCGCTGGTCTCTGTCATCATTTAAGGCGAGTGGCTGGAGCAGGCAAGGTCACAGGAAGTTTCTCTAGCTTCGGGACAGAACTTAGGCGTTGATCCTTGATTTCTCCGTCCAAGTCAGCTGCACCAGCCTGGTGTTTTGCAATCAAAGGATGTTGCATCGGCTTAATTAGGAGCATTTAGCACAGCTAAAAACAAACAAAACACCCAAACAAACAGAAACAATATAAAAATCTTAGAAAACAGCGCCGGGGTAAAAAGGGTAAATCACCTCTTTGTGGGAGCAACACGCTGTTTCGATGGCTTTTGGCTGTAAATGAATCATTGAAGCCCCAGGGGTTGGACCAGGCCCATTGAGAACCACGGCTGTCCCCACTTTCCCACGGCATCTGTGCGCCCGGGGGCCTGCTGTGGTTCTAGGTGGCGAGGGAAGGAAAGGGGGTCCGGTTAACTTCTTGCTGGCAGTGCTGATTTCACAGAAGGTTGCAGCTGACCTTGAAAATTGCAAACCCATTACCGCGCACATGCTTTGTGCATTTTACACGTTGTTGTTAGATGCGGTCGAGATGGCTCCAACTCCTGCAACCCCGGGTACAAGAGAATGAAGTACTGCCCGGTCCTGCGCCATCCTCACAATCGTTGTTCTGCTTGAGCCCATTACTGCAGCCACTGGGTCAGTCCATCTCGTCGAGGGTCTTCCTCTTTTTCGCTGACCCTCTACCTTACCAAGCATGATGTCCTTCTCCAGGGACTGGTCCCCCCTGACAACATGTCCACAGTCTGTGAGATGAAGTCTCACCATCCTCATTTCCAAGGAGCACTCTGGCTGAGCTCTTTTACACACACTCGGTGGAACCCCCGAGGGGCACGAGAGGTAGACACCAACGCAGGTGGGCAAGTGGAGCCCCGAGGGGAGAAGCCTCACGGCTCAGGGCTGGTGAGTGGTGGGCTTGGGACGGAACCCAGGTCTGCGGATCTACACGTGACTTCCACACACTGCAGCCTGTGCACCTAGGAGCCACCCCGGGAACAAATCCTGTCTCGTCCCACTTACGGGAGCTATCGAGGCTAGGCAAGTATTGACAGAGACCAAATTCATTAGTGGGTACAGGGGCAGGTGGGAGGGAGGGAAAGGGGACACTGAGCGTCTGTAAGGGTGATGGGAAAATTTGGAAATGGACAGTGGTGATGGCTGAAGAAGACGCTGAACATAACCAACATCACTGAATTGGCAAACCATCTGTTACATACGTATTTACCGCACACACAAAAGAGTCACTCGGGGAGCTTGCGAAAACACACACTTCAGGCACCTCAGAGATCTGAGTCTGCAGGGCTGGGGTGCCTGGGAATCTGCATTTTGCAAGAGTGCTCTGTGACCTCCCCCTTTTCTGACAGCGGCTCACAGCGAGAATCACATTTTACGTGACTGCCCAGGGGACACAGCCAGGTGTGCCACATGTGTATAGATCAACAACGGAATCCGTGGACCAGCTGAGAAAACACAGCTGTCCTCAGAACACGCAGAGCACTGTCATCTTTTCTCTGGTATTCCCTTCGCTTTCACTTAAACACTGTTGGTTGTGACCCACTACATTGATTTCATGACCCACGAATGAGTTTCTAGGAGCCCTGGTGGCCCAGCGGTTAAGCGCTCGGCTGCCAACTGAAAGGTCAGCAGTTCAAATCCACCAGCCACTCTGAGGGAGAAAGATGTGGCAATCTGCTTCCGTAAAGGTTTTCAGCCTTGGAAACCCTACGGGGCAGCTCTGCTCTGTCCTACAGGGTTGGAATCGACTCGATGGCAATGGGTTTGGGAATGAGTTTCTAGGTCCTCCGGGCTGAGTGGTTTGCACTTGACAACTGACTAAAGGTTGGTGGTTTGAACCCACCCGTAGGCACTGTGGAAGAAAGGCCTGGCAATCTGCTTCCGCATGAGATGACAGCCAAGAAGACCCCAGAGAGCAGTTCTACTCTGTCACACACGGAGTCTCCACGAGTCGAAACAGACGGAACAGAAACAAGTTTGTTTTTAGCCTGCAAACACTGACCTGGACTGTGTGGCCCAGGCTGGGAGTCTCTGGCCTCAGAAACGGGTAGCTTACTCAGGGACAATGGAAAAGTGGCCAGACACCCTAATACTAACACAAGGCTTTTTATATTTCTTTCACACCCAACCTCGCACTGTGATTCACAAAGTCCCCCGCAGGGCAGTAGCTCCATTGTGCGGGAGTGCACACTGAGGCCCAGGGGGTTGATGGGATGTGCCTGCGGTCAGAGCTGGGACCTGGGGAAGCAGAGCTGGAGCTGGAGCACCCCAGGCACTGACGTATCAGCACTGTCAGGAGACAGAGCACTTTGTTTTCCTGGACGGAATGTGGGCATTTGATTTCCACAGCACAATCCTGCCTTTCCACCCCCCTCCGCCCCACATTGCCCCTGCTCTTAGGACTCTGACGCTTCCCTTTTGACTCCTCAGTATGTAAAGCAGAGCGGGCTGCTAAGGTCCCAGGCAGCATCTGCTAACGAAACCAAATCCTCCGGCTTTCTCCAGCAGCCAGAGCTGGGTGTGTAATCTACCGCTGCTTAAGGGAGCAACTTTCTGGGAAGAGGAGCAGCTCACAGTCCGCTTTAATTGCGGATAAATCATGCACGCCAGGATATTCCAGGCAGAAACAGGAAAATCCTAGGTTCGGCTGTGAGACACACAAGGATCAGCAGCAGATACATAAATGCTGTCTTTCTCCCCCTCTCAGCCCAGGGGACACAACCAGGTGTGCCACATATGTATAGATCAACAACGGAATCCGTGGACCAGCTGAAAAAACACAGCTGTCCTCAGAACATGCAGAGCACTGTCATCTTTTCTCTGGTATTCCCTTCGGTTTCATTTAAACACTGTTGGTTGTGACCCACTACATTGATTTCATGACCCACGAATGAGTTTCTTCTCCAGGGACCTTCTGCGGTGAGCAGAGCCGGGCGGTTTCAGAAACAGACACTCTCTTTGAAAGGTCACAACTTTAAACTCCTGTTGGAAGGCACATTATGTGTCACCAATCAGAAACGGTGATTGTGGTCATTATGTATGTGGATCATCACTGTCATCGTCCCTCTGAGCGCCCCATAATTGCCCTCCCTGCACAGAGTAAGCTCTCCAGACTTCTGTGACGATGCGGGTGGATGGTACAGCTGTTCTCTGCCCTGATGCAGTGCGGACCCAGAACCCGGGATTAGTCAGCTCCCGTCCACGGTGAGGATGAGTAAATGTGTGAACAGCAGGAGACGCCACAGAAATACAAGCCATGCCCCATCTCAGTTTCCTTATAAGTTGAAACGTGACTCTGTCTGTCTGGTTCCCACTGTACCCCAGGCCCAGCACAGTGCCTGGCATGCAGTAAGCGCTCAGTGAATGTTTGCTGAATGAACAAATGCAAGAAGAACCTTTCACCACTAGCAACATTACCCGAAGTATGGTCTGTGGGGTGCTGACAGCTGTTATCTGGAAGAAAAGCGGGGTGAGCGTTAACGCTCCATACGTCTCGCTAACACCGTTTGTCTGCTGGAGACTTTACTCGGATCTTTGTGTGGCAAAGTGCCCTGTGAATCTCTTCAACTCACTACAGTCGAGTCGACTCCGACTCAGCATCCTCATATGTATCAGGGTGAAACTGTGATCCGTGAGGTTTTCAGTGGCTGATCTTTTGGAGGTTGATCACCAGGCCTTTCTTCCACAGCGCCTCTGGGTCGACTCGAACCTCCAACCTTTTCGTTAGCAGCCGAGTGCGTTAACTCTTTGCTCACCCAGGGACTCTGTGAATCTCTCAGGGGGAGGCAAATCATTTCTCAAATATATTTGACCACAGACCTGTGGATTTTTCATGGGGATGGCATCCTTTGGGAAATGCTGCCCTACTGGGTATGGTTTCATCCCCGTAAACTGGTGGTCAGAATGTTCACCTCCCATCCACCCTGCCTGACTCAAGGGGCCAAGGGGTGCACAGAGCAAGGCTGAATGAGGGAGCTGGGTGGTTGGCCAGCCTCTCACTCGCTCACTGACTCCCCCTGAGACTCGCAATATGGCCAATGACTGCACATCATGGATTTTTGTTTGGGAAGCTCAAGAACCGTAGATACTGTGAATGTGCAATCCGGGGTTCAGGTCTATTCTCTGTTTTGCACACCTGCATCAGGCTTCCCAGATATCAAGAGAATGAGCTTGTCCCAGCCTGCTCCTTCATCAGGAGGCTCAGATGCGGAGGCCTTGCTGTCTGATGCGCCGTCCTGCTGTACAGATCGGTACAGCGGAAGCGTTCACCAAGGGCCGGGCATGTGCCCAAGGGGCAGGACCAGACCTCGCCGGCTGCTCACGAGGGCTGCTTTACCTGAACAAAGCTGAACTCCCTCCAGCTGAGTGAGTTTGCGATGGATGGCAGCGAGGTGACAGCCAGCAGGGACAGCATGCCGAGGGCCAGGATTCCCAGGGAGAGGTAGATTTCCAACCGCCAGACTTCCTCCTCCTTCCAGAGGTAACTGTTGTCGGCCAGAACCTGATAGGGGTGGGAGGAAAACCATGAAGTGTGGACAAATCTGTGTCTCTGGGAGGCAGGTGATCACTTCAGGACGTGAGAAAGGACAACCAGCCTTACACATCACCTAAAACGTGCCCAGCTCTGTCCCAGGTGCTTCACAGACGCTAACTCATTTAATCGTCACAGCCTCCCATGAGGTGGAGACCACTGTTACCCCACTTTACAGGTGAGGAAAACAAGGCACAGAGGGATCCCACACAGCTAACCGTGGGCAGATCTGGGAGTAGGACCAGGTGCCCTGACTCCAAAGATGGGCCCCACTGTGGCTTCCACAGACATGCAGAGGGGGCTGTGAAACCTCTCTGGGGCCAGGGGCCAGCACAACAGTTACCTGAGCCGAGTGAGGGGCCAGACAGTAAAGAAGAAACGCAGACACTTTAAACATGAGTCTCCCACAGGGTTCCTGGCCCCCGAGGCCCAGGGAAGGAGAGCGGGGCTATCCAGGCTCCGCATGCCCTCAGCCAGGTGGGCTGGCGTTTCCGCAGGCTGCCTCCCCTCCCGGCCTGTTGCTCCGGACCCTCTGTCTTCTCACTGCCCAAGCTGCCTCGTGGCACTGGCTCCCACCCAAGACACACGGACACCAAACCCATCACCATCCCAACTCAGAGCCCCCAGACTCCCCATTTCCCTACCCAGGCACCAATCTTTGTCTGAGGCATACAGATTTGGCTTCAGTGTTGCCAGGCAATAAGGACTGACTTCCATTCAACAAGCAGTTTAGCGAGCCCTTATGAAGCAGCTACTGTGTGCAGGGGCCCTGGTCTGCAGAGGAAGGAGGCTTGCCCCCAAAAAGCTCTGGCACCGTGCTGAGCACCAGAAAAATCCAGCTGCTGTACAGTTGACTCTGACTCATGGCGACACCGTGGGTGTCACAGTAGAACTATGCTCAATAGGTTTTTTTTTTAAATAATATATTTTATTTTCATTGTTATTGTTGAGAATATACATAGCAGAATATATACCAATTCAACAGTTTCTACATGTACAATTTAGTGACATTGATTATATTCTTCGAGTTGTACAACCATTCTCATCCACTTCTTCTGAGTTGTTCCTCCCCTTGTAACCTAAACTCACTGCCCCTAAGGTTCCTATCTAATCTCTAAACTGCTGCTGTCCATTTGATCCCATATAGATAGATCTTAAAAGAGTACAGTGCTCAAGGCAGACATTCTTTACTAGTTAAGCTAAATTATTCTTTGGTTTTAAGAAGACTTCAATAAAGATTATCTCAGGGCAACAGTTTCAGGGGTTTACAAAGCCTCCATGGCTTCAGAAATTTTGGATTCCATGAGAATTTGAAATTCTGTTCTTCATTTTCCCCCTTTTGATTAGGAGTCTTCTGTGGAATCTCTGATCAAAATGTTCAGTAACGGTAGCCGGGCACCATCTAGTTCTTCTGATCTCATGGCAAAAGAGGCAGTTGTTCACGGAGGCAATTAGCCACACGTTCCATATCCTCCTCCTGTTCCTGACTCTCCTTCTTCCTCTGTTGCTCCAGGAAATTAGAGACCAATTGTTATGCCTTAGATGACCGCTTGCAAGCTTTTAAGAACCCGGGCACTATGCAATGAACTAGGAGGTAGAACAGAAGCACTAAACATATTAGTAGGCCAATTAACTGGGATGTCCCATGAAACCATGGCCCTAAACCTCCAAACCAGGGAACCAAATCCCATGAGGTATTCGGCTGTATATAAGCAGCTGCAACAGCTACTCTTTTTTTTTTTTTTTGGTCATTGTTTTAAATATACCTGTCATACAACTTTTGCTAATTCAACATTTTACAGGTGTACAACTTATCGGCAGCACTTAATGATAAACAGCTGTGCAACCCTACCCTTAACAAGATTTTTCCATCTCTGTAAACCGAAACTCAGTACTCCATAAACAAGGACACACCTCCTTCCCCTCTCGCCCTGGTAACCACCAACTTTGTTGTCTATCCATTTGCCTATTCTTGTCTTTTTATATAAATGAGGTCATACAATGTTTGTCCTTTTGTAATTGCCTTATTTCACTCAGTATAATGTCTTCAAGCCCCATCCATATTGTAGCATGTATCCAGACTTCATTTCTCCCACTGGTTGAGTAGTATTCCATTGTATGTATGCACCACGTTTTGTTTATCCATTCATCTGTGGATGGTCATTTAGTTTATTTCCACCTTTTGGCTATTGTGAATAGTGCTGCAGTGAACACTGGTGTACAAGTCTCTGAGTCTTTGTTTTCAAGTCTTCTGGGTATATACCTAGGAGTGGAATTGCTGGGTCCTATAACAGTTCTATTTTTAGTATTTTGAAGAACTGCTACACTGTTTTCCATAACGGCTGTGCCATTATGCATTCCCACCAGCAATGCATAAGGGTTCCAATTTCCCCACATCCTTACCAACATTTGCTATCTTCTAGGTTGTTTATCTTAGCAATCCTAAACCAAAAAAACTTCGCCATTGAGCCGATTCCAACTCCGAGCCATGCTAGCGGGAGTGAAATGGTATCTCCCTGTGGTTTTGATGTGCGTCTCTCTGATGGCTAATCATGTTGAGCATCTTGTCATGTGTTTGGCGGCCATTTGAATGTCCTCTTTAGTGAAATGTCTATTCAGGTCCTTTGCTCATTTTATGACTGGGTTATTTGTCTTTTTGTTGTTAAGCTGTTGAAGTTTTATATATATTTTTGTTATTAGATTCTTGTCGGATACTTGGTTTCCAAAGATATTATCCCAGTTGGTGGCTTGTCTTTTCACTTTTTTGGTAAAGTCTTTTGATGATGAACAAAAGTTTTAATTTTTATGAGGTCCCATTTATTTATTTTGTCTTTTGCTGTTTGTGCTTTTGTTATTATATTAGATAATCCACTGCTAAAATCTAGGCCCAACAGCACTGCCCCTGCATTTTTTTTTCTAAGAATTTTATGGTTTTAGTTTTCACATTTAGGTCTTTAATCCATTTTGGATTTGTTTTTGTGTATGGTGTGAGGCATGGATCCTGTTTCATTTTTCTGCATGTGGAAATCCAATTCTCCCAGCGCCATTTATTGAAGAGACTCTTTTTTCCCCCATTGAATGGACTTAGCACCCTTGTCAAAAATCAGTTGACCATAAATATGTGGGTTTATTTCTGGACTCTTTAATTCTATTCCATTGGTCTAAGTGTCTATTGTTATACCAGTACCAGGCTGTTTTGATTACTGTAGCAGTGTAATATGTTTTAAAATCAGAAAGTGTGAGTCCTCCTACTTTGCTCTTTCTCTTTGCTTTAGCTGTTTGAGGCCTCTTGCCATTCCATATAAAGTTGAGGATTGGTGTTTCCATTTCTGTTCAGAAGGCTGCTGGAATTTTGATCAGGATTACACTGAATATTTAGATCACTTTGGGTAGTATTGCCATCTTAACAATATTAAGTCTTTCAATCCATGAACATGGAACATCTTCCATTCATTTAAGTCTTCTTTAATCTCTTTCAGCAGTGTTTTATAATTTTCGTTGTTTAAGTGTTTCACATCCCTGGTTAAATTTATTCCTAGTTATTTTATTCTCTGAGCTCCCTGTAGGGTTTTAAATGGCTGATTTTTCAGAAGTAGATTGCCATGACTTTTTTCCGAGGTGCCTCTTGGTGGGCTTGAACCGCCAGCCTCTGGGATAGCAGCAGAACAGGTTAAATGTTTGCACTATACTGGGCTCCCACCAAGCTCCAGGAACACACAAATCAGGGAGCCTTGCAAACCCCTTACTACCTCCCCACCCCCACCACAGTGTCCCTGCTGCTGAGCTCCCACAGGCTTGGCATCACACACTCACACAGCGCACGCACAGGGAAGAACCTTCATCCAGACCTTTCCATTACAGCATCATTTGCCAACCAGACCGGACAGCAGACTTCCCAGAAGCCAAGGTGTTCTCTGAGAAACACCCTGAAACACGAGCCCTTTATTCCAGCAGCCAAATGAGGCCCAGAGTTTCCATCAGAAGACATGGTTATGCTTGAGGCAGCAGGTCGATCGTTAGAAAACAAAATGACTCATCCCAGTTTCCAGCAGGAAAAGAATAACAGAAGCCCAGTTACCAGATATAATAGTAAAAATGAATCCAGTGGGCTGAGCAATAATTGTTTAAAAGTTTATGACAGAGGCGGGGCCAAGATGGTGGAGTAGTCAGATGGCTTCCTATGTCCCTCTTACAACAAAAACTTGAAAAAACAAGTGATTTAATTGTATATGAATATATAGGAGCCCTGAACAAGGCAAAGTTGAGGAATCAGACTGAGTGGCGGGAGAGAGAGAGGCGGTTCGGAAGCAGCAAGGAGTTGCCTGACCTGACCCAGCGGGAGCCGCAGCCCTTCACCCAGATCGGCTCCAGTTGTGCAGAGAGGTGGGCACACAGCTCTGCTTGCTCACTCGGGAGGCAGTTTCCACATCGAGAGAGATCTGGCAGCAGAGATTCTGCTTGGACACTCTGAACCAGTGAAAAGCAGCACCCAAGTGGCTAAAGATAAATACATGCATGTGGCCTTTAGCGGGGATTTAAAAAAAAAAAAACCCTTTGGGAAATACCACTGTCCCATTTACCTTCTCCCTCCCCGCTCTGCACCGGGTCTGGCCAGCTTCAGCTATTTATGAGTCCCCTGGGCCAGAAGTAGATCCCATAAGGTGCCCTGACCCATTCTCCTGGCCTTGGAGAGGGAACAAATTAACAAACAGGGAAAAAATAAGCTACCAGCTCCCCTAAGCCAGGAACTCAGGGTTGGCACAGCTCCCTTGCCTAGGCACAGGCATAAGGGGTCCGCAGACTTTGACTGCCTTCTACCCGTGTATAGACTTGTGTGGACCCGCCTCAACAGTGTAAGCCCTCACTACCACAGTACAACAGGGTAAACACCACAAGTCTAACGTCAGCTGTTTCAGATGTGAAGTGGCAGATTTGTGACACTTGACATTGCTCTGCCCTTTAACCAGGTG